GTTAGTATGCTCTCTGAACTACCCACATGAGAAATAATCAAGAAGTTGAGATACCATTCATTTAAAAATCTGCTTAGGAAATCCCAAGTGTCAGTATACAATGCTTTCAAATATAACTAAAACAAGCAATTATGTCTGTGTAGATACAGTTTGAAGGGGAAGTTTTAATCTTCTAAATAAAAGGTTCTTTTCCTTTTGCTTTTGTGACGTTTATCTAGTTCCTTAAGTTGTGGATGAGTTCTGTTCACACCTACACCTGTGTATATTGCTTTAGAATTAAGTGTTGGATAAAAATGCAAATGCCCAGTGTTGCTATCTGGAGCTAATAGCTTTGTTACTTCCAATCCCTGATTCACAAATAATCAGAATGTGTGTAAATTATGTAAATGCCATTGCTATTTCTTCCTCAGTAGAGGCTATTTTCTCTTTGTTCCTAGTCACATCTGGTTAATTGTCACTATCCAATCTGGTCTGTTCGCTTTAAACTCTCCAGACCTCATTAAGGCTGCTAGTGCAGTCATATTAAATATTTTATCAGACATAAGTTATACGTTCATTCTTTAGTGCTTGCTATCTATAGTGTGTTGTCATTAGCTACACCTAAACTGAAGGACCTGGAAACATCTCATAACGTCCATGTCCATCAGTTTAGGTGTAATCCATCTTCCATCCTGGTAATGAGTGAAAACCTTTGTAAAAAAACATTTTGAGACCATTATATCTCATTTGATGACATTGTCATTAGTTATTTTCACCTACCATGACAAACAGATTCTGTATGTATCCCAGTAATCGAACTACGCCAATTTATACACTTCTACTTTCAACAGAACTACAAAGGAATAAAATGCACCTCCCACCTCCCCAACCTCACTTTTTTACTCCCATCCTCTTACAACTTGTCAAAAAACATCCTGTGACAAACTACATTTCCAGCACCTGCTAGACTTATACTTATCCTCTATGAATTTTGCCAAGTCACATAGACTAATACATCTGTGCAGCTTTTTGATTAGGCAAGCTAAATTTTTATTGTCTTCTGTGCCTATAAGACTGTTTAGTATTGCATTTTGATGATTCACATCCTTTCACACTACTGACAAATTCTTAAATCTACTAGGTACATTTTAGGTCATATGACATTAAATGTCATGTTTGTCACAGTGTAAAGTCCATTTAAAGAGGACAAAGATGTGTACTGGGAAATTCTCCTGATAAAAAGAAAATCTCTACTGTCAGAAAGTTGTTGAAAGTAGCTTTTTGCTGTTTGCACCCACACTTTCAGCTACTTCTAGCATATGTGTGAGAAGATAGCCAGTGTGTGGAAGACTTAGGGGGCAAGGCAGAAGGGCACAGGATACTCCTAATAAAATAAAAATCTGTTTTTTCTAATTCTCTGCCAGCAACAGGTAAAGCTGTTTCCTTGTAGACAACTGAGAATGTGGGAGGTGCAGTTTACTTTCTGTTAGCACCCTTCTCCAGCTCCAAAAATCTGTCCTGTTTACTTTCCTCCCATTTTTCTTGTTGTAATATGTTCTTTTTTATTTTGAATCTATGTTTTGATTTAGTGTTCTCCTTCTGCTCCTGCAAGTAATCCTTATTCATAAAGAGTTCAATTACAGTCAATAGGGTCTTAAATCTAACTTTTTGGCATCTTTGCTTGTATTTTTAAAGAATCATTCTTGTGAGTAAGTTTTAGCTTGTGATAAGCAGTGGTCAATAGTACGAACAGTTACAGTCTGGTTTGAGCTACAGTCTGGCTTGAGCTACACTAGCTCAAATGAGCCGAAAGTTCAGTCTTCTGTCAGACTGTGGTCAGGAAAACGTGCCTAGAGCATTAACATCTTTACAACATCCCTTTAAAATTAAAACCATTAGTTGCCAGCACCATTCTTAGCTGACATCACTATCTGGCCCAACATGGAAAACTAAATGATTCTATTGTATTCAGAAACATTTCTCCCCTTAGCAGATTATGAGTTTCAAAGTGATGCTTAATTAGTCTTGCTAGTTGTTAAGGAACTGTGGAAAGATATACAACTGCTAAAGAAGGATAAACGTGGGTACCAGAAACTATCCAGGAGCTGGGAAGCAGGTAAAAGCTTTATCTTTGTAAAACAAAAAGCTTTCATTCAATTTGCCCTGCACAGCCAACATCAGTATAGCACTATTCCAGGACCAGACACAGTGCAGCTAACAAGGAATGTGACTGAAAGATCATAAGGAGTATGCATATTTTCCTTACTGTTGTCTGAAAAATATTGATTAACACTGGTGGCTATGGTAACTTTTGATGTGACATAATAGCTGAAGCATATTATTGTTAGTCTGTAGCCCTTTTCTTTAGCTAAATATACAGAGATGGATAGATAGATATTTGACCATTTGCGTATTCTTCCTCTCCTACCAGTAGGGTAGTGGGTTTGGTTCTGATGGTTACTGGCTGTCTTCTCTCTGTCGTTGGCCCTCTGAAGTCTGCCAAGTTCAGGTGACAAGCAATTGAAGGATGGAACAAGCATGCCATTATATTAACAGTATAGATCAGGAAGCTCCCTAGGAGAGAGCAAATATCACAGATAGCTGCAGTATTTTTGTGGCAGTTTTTGTTTGTTTGTTTTTTGTTTTGGGTTTTTTTTTTTTTTTGGTGTAGGTAGTTTTCACATTTGCAGAAAGTAGAAACAAGAAGGAAGCACACGAACCTGCCATTACTTCCTCATGGCTTCCAGTGGCCCTTAACTGCTCTTTGGTCAGTAACACCACATTTAAGAAAGGAGTCTCACTAACAGGACTGTATGATAGAAAACTAATATGGTCTTGAATTCTTATTTTTTGAAGGATTACTGGATATACCATACTTTAGCACGCTCATTTTCCTGTGGTCTTTCCTCCTTTGCATGCACAACTGGGCCACAGCAAATTTTCAGTCAGATGCAAGAGCGGCATGGTATCGCCAACATGGTAGAAATGTTGAGCCCTCCCCCTCCTCCTTAGCTCTTCATCCCGCCAGAGGTGAGCATGGCATGTAAATGGAGGGTCTTCTCTTCAAAATGATTTTAAAGATGTTCACAGACTGCATGTAAACACCTACAAGGCTTTGCAGTTTAAGAGAAGCAGCATTACCTCAGCAATATTTTGTAAAGGCTCTGCACGGGTGTCTGGTAAAGGAGAGTAGATTTCATTCCTAGCTCTGGTATAGCCTTGCTGTGTGACCTTGGGCAAGCCACTTAACACCTGCGTTCCCCTGTTCCCTGCTGTGTAAAATATTGCTGATGCTTATCTCGATTAAAGAAGAGCAGTGAGGCGATGTTCATTAATTATTGTTGGAGAGTGTTCTGAGATCCAGTCCAATAAAAGCGGAGGCTACAATGCTTTGCCCTTCTACAAAACATTCATCTGAGGAGGGTAAAGCATTATATCTTCCACTTTTATGTGAAAAGAAAGAAAATTAAAACACCACTTGGAAGTGCTGTTTTAATTGGCTTTGGTTTTTGCTTTTGGGGTTTTTTTTCTGCACTGTACCCAAGGCTAAATTCACTGAGGCATTTATAAACCACCAAAAGATGAAGACTGGCACCTTATACACTTTGCATAACTAGGCTGGGAATCTGCTCCCGTTGGAGTCAGGTGTCTAAGCTGCTGGCATGGTTTCATCTCTCCCAAGGGAATGCCCACCTGCCTTCTTAGATGATAAATTTTCTTTGGCAGTCTAAGCTGTAAGTTCACCGTTTACGATGCTTAAAGATACAAAGCAAAACTTTTTTTAAATGGTGCAAAGCCATTCTACAATATAGACCTCCCTGCCTTATTTCAAACATTTTGCAATATGAAGTTTGGGAGCGAGCAGTTACTAAAACTTTGCCCTCGTTTCTTTCCAGTTTGTAAGAGCACCAGCTCCATTTACCAGCATTCTTGTAACCCAGCATCCAGTGCAGACTCCTTTCAGAGGTGAAAGGATTTCTTTACTGACTTGCTCTATGTGCTTCTGCCTATTAGTCCCATTTCATTGCTGAATTAGGTTGCTGTTGAAGAAAAGCGTCTTTGCTGGTTCCTCAGATGGAGATTCTTTCAGTACCATGAATGCCAAGCAAGTTGGCAGGCTTCCTGATACCCCATGGAAGCTGAGGAAACTTGTTTCTGATGGAGGCGAGCTGCCCCTCTGCAACTACTCTGTGGATGACTGTAACAGCGGTGGAATAGTTGGGTCATGGTAGGCTGGGGCTTTACTTAGCATATGCTGCTATGAAGAGGTTTCAGTTTTGATGCGTGGCTGAAACAGCTCCTGGCTACTCAATACTTTATGGGTGTATGTATAACAAGTCCCACAGAAGACGTCCAAATCAATAGCTATAAATTCAGATTTGATTTTCTGTGTACCTTGTGGATCTATTGTAAGCTCTGTAATCATCCATCTCACCACCCATACCTCAACTGATGTTTGCTCTTGGAAAATTGAATTTTTGACTATCTTAAGAGGCATAAGGACAGAAACCTGGCTGTACAGTTTGTCACTGTCTCATCACTAGTGTAAAAACTGCTCCCAGAATGAATCAGAATAGTCCGATTTCTGCACTTTCAGAAGGAAAAGTGAAAGACCCATCTTTGATTTATCCTTTATGAAATAGGTCTCCTTTAGAGGGACTGGAAGAAAATGCAGTTTCTTTGGATATTTAAAATTTGTAAGACAGTAGTTTGACAGTTACCTTCATATATTGAAGAGTGCATTGGTTGCAATGAGGTCTTTTTTTTTTCTGCTTAGCAACATCATAAAGATAAAATACATGCAACAGCTATTGTCCCAGGGATATATAAAACTCTCCTAAAACAAGATCTTCCTACTCTCGGCTTAATCTACTGTGGAACTGTCACCCCTGCATGGCCTTCTGCACTGTGGGAAATGTGACACTTTCCTACAGAACAGAGGGTTGTGAGAAAAGCTGATGCCGTAGTTGTAAGTAGCTTGGCGGTTACAGAGTTAATTTTCTGGGCCAATATTTCCCCAGGTGGAAGCCTAGCAGAGACTACTCAGAGACCAGGGACTGGGTAGCTGTGTAAAAGCTTTGACTGGATTCAGGTGAGTTCTGGGTACTGCAGGAAATCAAAGGGCAAAGCAGATGGCAGAAACTGAGAAAAATTTGGCTGTATGGCTTCTTTAAATCTCTGTTGAAAACTTTCTGTACTATATATAAGATATTTGTTTTTAAATTCATTTCTGTTGTTGTCCTGGAAGAATTCTTAGTACTCTGCTTTTGGATTGCTTTATGGGTAATCAAAAATGGTAAATGAATTATGGTTAAAGATCACAAGCTGTTAAAGAGGGTGATTTTACTGGGAGGAGTGGTGTTCACTAGTGTATGGTCTTCTTCATGTTTTATTGTAACAGATGTTTCAGCAATTCCTATTCAGGGCTGGAGACAGGGCTATCTTACAAGAAGACTGTCTTAATGGTCATAATGTTCCATTAGATGTGGTCTCTTCTGTAACTGTATATATTTACAATTTAAAAAATTGCAATTGCTCCTTGGAGAGCTTGCTCTACCTGAATTAGGAAAATAAAAAAGGAGGAAAACTTTGTGGGGAGGAGAAAGAAAGGTTAGGTTGAGAGAGCTGCAAAGACTTGCTCGGAAAAGTAAGGGAGCTTTAGTATTTGTGTGTGTGTGTATAAGTATGTATACGTGTGTACGTATATTCTTATATGCATATACGTATACACACTTAAAAAAAGCTCTTGTGTCTTCCAATCTCATGGAGCTAAGAAGAGCTTAATGAAAGTTGTTGTTACATTTTGGCCATTAGTGAGGAGGTGCGTTTTCTGCCCTCCCCCAGCATGCGCGCTCTTTCCTTTTGCGAGATGGACGGGGAGTGCAGTGACTGTTATGCTCCTGAGTACCAAATTAAACAGTTTTTTTCTAGTCACTGCTCTGAGCAGCAGCTGTTTTGATTGGATGATAGCTTGCTTTGTTTGATAAAGTTGAAAGAAAATGAAACAAAGCAGGGAAAATCAATAATTCTCACGAGGCTTGATTTCCATGCACCCTGTGCCTTCTGAAAATAGTACTGCTCAAAAATGTTTGGTCTGCACACACCCCTAAACTCACTTTGGAGATATTAGGCATTAAAAACTGAGGGCCAAATTTTTACACTGATTCCCAAGGAAATTCTTGGAGGCTTCCCCTCAGCTTTCTCTCTCCTTATTCCCAGTCATATATTTACATCAGTTCTTCCTTTGTGCTGGACAAAGGCATGATACTTTTCTTTTTGGTGGTGGGGAGGAAGGGTGGATTTCTTTCTGAGATTAACATTTTTTGTCAATTTTTATCTCCTCTATTGTTCTTTTTCTCCCAAAGACGAAATGGATAATTCCCCTGCCCCGAGTTCCCTTCTTTGGATTTACTTCTGAGGTGAGCTAAGTAAGATACACAGAGAGGTCAACATGGTACACTGATGGGCTAACTCTGTGTACCTACATGAGATGGGTCTGATGTTAACCCAGCGGGTCAACAAAAGTGAACTTCTGAGCTCTAAGGATATTTTGAGAGACAATAAAAATAGTGAAGATATCTTGGTAAATGCCAGAGAGAAGAAGATTATTTAAGAATACACATCAATCCAAGAGAGGCTTAACAAGGGGACTTCTTTAATACGACGAAATTTTTTTCTTTCTAAAGGATCGGGTGACTGGATTTTTAGGATAAGCCTGGACAAGCTGCACTACATAGAGCCATCCTACCTTAAAAAATTGTTGGGTTGGATAGGCTGCTGTAAAAAGCTTAATGAAGTTTTCCCTTGCCAAGTAGTGAATTTTCCTTGTCTTGAAGAAATTGTGTGGGGTCTCTACCTCAAATTAAACTAAGTCTTTCTGGAAGCTTTACAGTTGCTGCTCTCCTTCATCTATCTGAGGACTATTCCTTACATTCTCTTCATCCATTTCCAGCTTATTTTATTTAAAATGTGTTTAAAAGCATGCTGAAATGCCAATTTTTGTAACAAATCCTAGAGGCACATTACTTTGACAGAATCTGGTGCCTACACACCCACATGGTGTAAGGTTATCTCCTTTGCTCTTAGTTTCTTAAAGTGCAAAAAAGAGAGAGAGGAAAAAAAAAAGCACCCCAAGATGATTAACAACAGAACTTGAAAGAAAAGTGAGATCTTTCTTTTTCTCTTTTCTGTTAGGCTTGTTCATCCATGCTAAGACTAGGCTTACCAAGAGCACAGATCAACGAGACCAATATGGTGAGTGTCCAGTAATGCATTAACGATAGTCTGCTTTTTTTCAAGCCGTTTTCCTCTGTGGATGTCCTTCTGCTTTAATAGTACATTCAACACTACAGCTACAGCATAAGTAGCACCAATTTTAAGGACAGATGTTTTTGAGAACTGAAGGTGCTTTCTTTTTTTCCTTTTAGAAATCTATTGCAAACTGCCACCTCTAAATTGCAGTTCGAGGCTTCTGATCTCTGCAATATATGCTGTAGTGTCTTGTGCCACTGCTTTCTGTTGAAATATAATAAGTCATTTAACACATGGTAGTCCCTCCAGTGTGGTGGTGGAAAGCCGCCTTTACTTTACGGTGTTTGGGAACTCAAGGTCTTGTCTTGCCTCTAAGTGCAGGGATGATTCTAGTATGCAGCAAGTAATTACCAGCCTTGGAACCTGGCCAGGACAGCAAGGTTAGCAACGCTGCTCTTTTCAATAGTGCCCTAGTAATATTAATAACCAAAAGCTCACTGTTAATATATTGAATGTGAGACATGCATTCTAATAGGCAGTTATGGTCACCTACTTACTTTTCTCCATTTTCATTTGAATATGTATGAATCTGTTTAGCACCAGACAGAGCAGGTCAAATAGTGAACTTGCAATTAGACATGCAGTATGGAGACTTACAGAATGCCTACCTAAGTATAATTGTAGCAGGTAAATTGGGGGTGTTGTAGTGTATAATCTGCAATATTATCATAATTGCTATCTGCATTATCTTTTGAATGGAGATGAAAATATTTTATTTAACAGAATTAAATACCAATGTTTGTACTGCATCTAATATTTTGATACCTTGTAAGCAGGTTATGCTGCAAAGAATAACCCAAGTGGAATTTAGATCAGTCCTTGCTTGTACAAGGACTGAGATAAAATGTCTGAAGGCAGTGTAGCTGAGTTTTCTAGAGCACTTTGTGAGGGCAAGACCTTGAAATTGAATGCAAGTTCATTAAAGAACACTGCTAATGAAATAATAGGGCTATTATTCTCTTTTGCAAAATTGTTCCAAACTATGACTCTATTCTACTGTCCTGGTGTTTTCTACGATTAAATGATTTATGACCAATTAGCTCCTGAACCTCTGTGTGTCATCCTGCTATAAACCGTTTCTTTGTTTGTGCTCTGTAGGGGTTTTTGGCTCTATTGTGTTTAGCAGGACTCAAAGGAGGTGCCTGTCAGCTTTCTGCTCATGAAGACCTCTGTGTCTTCAGCTTTACAACAGGCACTTAGTGTTCAGAGTTCTGGGCTTTAAAATGAAGTATAGGGGGAGATGCAGCTACGTGTGGGGGGTTCACAGCTGCTGATAAAAAGGGCCTGCTGCATTTATCTGGCAATTCTTAGAAATCTTTCCGTTATATTTCAGTTCCTCCTATTAAAAACTAACCCGAAGGTTAATGCGTTTTGATAATGGACTTGATAATACGTCAAAGACCGTGTCTAGGTTCATGGTCTTTCTGTGTGGAGAGGGCCAGCCACCTCTGCTGCAGTGTTTTCCTGGGAGTTTTCACAAGCTTTGCTGACAGCAGAGAGGTTCTTGCTGGCTGTAGAAGAATGAGGTAGGAGAAAAATGGTGGAAAACTTTCATGGAAGCTTAAATCCTTGTACTTCATGTGCAATAGCTGAAGGTGAGCTATCTCTTTTGGCTTTGTTAGTGAGGTTCTCAAGTTTCTTTTGCATCAGCTGTGAACAAAATTAAAATGGAGAGGTTAAGCATTTAATCAGCCACAAGGGTTGGAAGATGTTAGATCAAGCTCTGATGTCCTGTGTGCTTCTTCTAACACTGCAAATGTAAAGGCTGTAGCAGCGACTTATGCACTTGATGCTGTTCAGATTAATAAGTTTCAAATTGACGGGGTAAGGATGTGGGAGGGAAATGTCTAACCCTCTATTCAACCATTCAATAAAGATAAGAACTATCAAGACAGATTAATGGAAACAGATGATAGTATTGGAATATCATAGAGGAGACAATTTAACTACAGTTGCAGCACAAACTCTCCTGTGTGGGCAGTCAGTCTTCCAGGGTGGTACAAGGAGTAGAAGCCAGAGTACAGCATTTCTTGTGGAGGATTAAATGCATACTTTAAACTAATTTCAGACTGGAAAATTCCAGGCACCCATGAAACCTGCTTACATTTTATGGAACTAACTTGTCATGCCTCTGTGGCCCTTAGGACCAACTAAACTGGTCCATGGAGGTCATAAAGCAAGCAAGGAGATCTCATGGTTGGCTACCCTGCCCATGGTATATACAGACCCAGCTATCCTGATCCCATTGAGATTGTGAGTAGTGTTTTTTGGTTTGAGCGATTGAAGACATTGGAGAATGAAGGGGAAGTGCTGGCTGAAATGAGCCTATACCCCAGCAATTGTGTACTTCTGGTCTGCTGTCTGGTCACTGAGACTGGGAAGTGGGAAAAGACCTGCAGGGCTCCAGCAGAAGCGATATTATGAACCCCAAAGAGCATTCCTACTGTACGGCCGAAATCCTACCCCTTTTCTTTTGTAAACTGCTCTGCAAGAAACCATCCCTTGTACTATGGCTACTAAGCAGATGCTGCCTGTTATCAGAGCCATGGCTTTGAGCTCTTAGGACAAAGAGGTTTGTCTGTCTTTCTGCAGTTACGGTCTGTCCTACTAGTAATCACTGGTGTGTGCTTGTGAGAAAGGTTTTTGTAAGCAAGCAAAAAGCATGTTCTGCTTTGATTCACAGGATATTAAATCTCTTTTGGAGTCAAAGAAACAATTTGCTGTGTGGCACAGAGTGACCTGTCCAACTCTAGTTAATGACCTTTATCCAGGTGAAAAACATTCTTGCAAACATCTGCCTTAAATAAGATTTCTTGAGAACGAATGTTGAATGCTTAAATCTTAGGACCTGTGATGCATTTTGATTAAATGAGAAGAGTGTCTTTGAAGTTTCAGGAACACTTCAATAATGTAATATCAGCTACAGTAGAAAGTGGTAGGAGTTATCTGACTTTGGTTACTGATTTCCTTCTCAGTTATGTGAATCTGGATGCAGCACACACTTAAACAGTAGCACTTAGGCTTCTGAGGACTTACCTGGTTACTTACTGAAGGTAAGCAGCAATTACTGTTATGCAGCAATTGGATTCCTGAGTGCAAGTAATAAGCTTGAACAGTGTATAGAACAACCTCTCCTATTAAGGCTGGATCTAAAGCTTATTGAAATCAGCAGGGATTTTCTAACTGAGCTTTGACAGACAGTGCTTTTGGCACTTACTGATACAGAATTGTGTATCTGTGCTGCGTGAGGTTGTTTGTTTGGGTTTTGTTGTGTTTTTTTGTTTTTGATAAGCATATGTCACACTAAAGGCACTGAACTATGCCTGCGTGTCTTTGACAAAGAAGGGTAATTTATAAAACTGTTAGTTGCCTAATATGGAAGGCTTGTAACTTTATATGTTTCATTAAATTGGCTATCCAAAAATTGAGTATGTACTTAGCAAAGAAAATAAAATTTCAAGAGTTAGTGTTTTTTTTTAAGGCAACCTGAAGATCTGGACCACCTAAAGTATCCAAATGTGCATTTAGGAGTTTAATGTTTTATCTGTGGTTTGTTAGATGACTATAGCCACATGTGGACCTTTTTTGCTGGACTGAACAGTTCTGCCTCTTCCTTCCTTCCCCCAGGTACTCATCCCTTCCTTTGATGGGCCCATACAAATTAATGTGCTTGCACAAGACGGGGCCCTGGGACAGGTGAGTGGGTAGGGCAGCTGCTGTTTGAGCTGTTGTAAGGAGCATTGGTGCTGAACGTCCAACTGTGATGTCATCTCCATGGATCATAGTTTTGCAACATAATTATGAGCTGGATAATCTAATTTTCATCCTTTAAGCTTGCTCTTTTTTTCCTCTCCTTTTAAGTGATCACCGCAGACATAGCGAGATGTATTTGGAATGCTTCACACACTTTTTGTTTAATGTGTCTCTTTCCTTGGGCTTGTTTTCCTTCTTAAGAAAGATGAATTGTTGAATACATTTGCATGCCGTTATGCTTGAAATTATGTGTTCACAGACTTTTTTTTGTCTATGCTCAACTGGTTGGGTATAGATTCTCATTTTTAATAAGAAAGTGGCAAGATTTCAAGTCATTGTTTTAGGTGTGTGGTGTTTTTTTTTGTTTTTTTTTTAAAGTGTTATTCTCCCCAAGGAATTACAAACTGAGATGAGGCAGATTGAGGGCAAGCATGTGGTAACAAACAACTTCTGAATAACTTCATTTCAGTTGCTCAGTGATGACTTTGAAAACTTTGTTTGTGTTTTACTTGAAAAGTTTGTGTCTTACCTGCAATCATCAACAATTCCCTGTGTGTGTATGTGTATGTTCATTTTGTTTCTTTCCCCTTGTTTTTCTGTCTACTGCAGGGAAAGTCTAAAATGATTCTGATATTCTGTTCATATAGAAAACTTTGAACTTCAATATATTTCTGTTCTGAAATCAAATTTATTTATTTTCATAATTAAATCTTCTCAGATCTTGTGCAATGATTTCTTTTGGTTTTGGGAGGGGAAGGCAGCATTCAAATACTTGAATATTCCTCTCTGGTCTCAGAAAAGAAAACTCAAGAACATGGGAAGAGCCCTAGAATGATAAGTTTTTAGTGACTTTTTCAAGACTTAAGTGAAGGCTTTTCTATGACATTGGTCAAACTGGGAGTAAAAACTGTCTTTAGACTGTCAGTTAGTTGCCAGCGGACTAATTGCTAAGCTCAAATTGCAGGTAATACTGAGATGAATACATTCCTCGTGGTAAACAAAACGGTCCATTTTCTGTATATAAATATGTATATATTTTAATAAAAGTATCTGAGCCATTTATGAATGGAGTTGGTCGCAAACTTGCTTGTTGAGTAATATGTCTACTGCGCACTGAGCTTCACCTGTTCTGAAACTCAGGTTAATCCTATAGGTTCTCCTTGGAAAGCCTTTTGTTCGTCTAGGTTCTTCACTCTGAAAAAGGAAGAATCGTTGTCTTCCGCTTGCTAGCCCTTTGGCTTGGAGCACTTGCACAAGATGCAGAATAATCAGAGTTGTTGGTCATTGGGGTTTGTGGGCTGATTGTGCTTCAGGACGCTTCCCCTTATGCACGAATGGTTACGTAGTCATCTAAGCCTGTATTTTGCTCTGTAGTTGACTGTTTTGCTATTGTTAACTAATTATTCAGGGTGGAACAGCATCCGTGGAGGCATTTAGACTTTTTTTTTTTTTTTTTAAGCGCTCATTCAGAACTCATTCTGAGTCCAAATCCCTACCCTAAATCAGGCAGAACAGGAATTTAAAGTTGAGACCCTTATGCTACTGGGCTACAGGGCAGTGAGAAGCAGCCTGCTTAAAACATAATAGTTTGAGAGACCCAAGTTCAGATTTTCTTTATCTGGCTCAGGGCAGGAGTCTGGATTTGAAAGAATGACCTGAATGGAACGGAAGCTCAGCATTTTGTTCAAAGAGGGGAAAACATTGAAGTCCAAACCTACTGCATCCAAATAAAAACTTATTCTGTGATATTTTTGATTTCTCTTTCAAACTGAAAAATCAATTTTTGTTGCAGTCCTGGCCATGCCAAGAGTTAGTGGAAAGCAAGAGGAAGCTTTTGGTGCTCTTTTCAGAAGAGTACCTATTAAATACCAATTTCCGTTGCAGTGATCTTTCTCAAAGCATTGACTGAAAACAGCTGTTGGTCCTGCTAGGGCTTCTGCTGACAGAACATGCCTAGCAAGTTGTAGGTGGTTGATTTAACATATGACTGTCTGGCTTGCCTCAGGATATTAAGAATGAGAAGATGCAATTTGTACAGCTATCTTCAGTGTTACTAAGATCTGGTTGCCTCTTTCCTACCAGGAGTAACATGCTGGTTTTACTACTTAAAAACAAAAGACCCCTAGTTTTTGTGAAAGGGATTCAGAGTACAGTTGTCGCTGGAGATTTAAGGCACTTAGTCATTGCTTTGTGAGTTGGCTACAGTGTGAGACTGACCTACCCTGTGCTTCTCAGAAAGCAACACTGGACATCATCTGTGGAGGAGCTGACTTAAATAAACTTTATCTTGTCATCCTTATCCAGAGGTAGTCAGCAGGCTCATGACACTGTTAGAGGAACAGCTGTATGTGGCTGTTAATAGCTCTCTCCATGGGTCCATGATGTTTTTGTTGGGCAGATAGAGTAGGTCCTCTGACCTCCTTGTCCTGCAGTTTGTAGGATCTCGTTTTATACTGCAGACTTTAGAGTGTAACCTATTGCTAAATTAGCAAATGTGTCACTAAAGTCTTCTCTCAGACCTATGCGGAGCTTATCCATTTCTGCCAGTCCCAGCTATTGCTCTCACTGTTCCATAGCCACTTTAGGCCAGTATCTCCATTAATAAGATATTTCACTTGTTAGTGTTAACTTCCTAGTCCTAAAGCAGGGTTTTTTTATTTGTTTGTTTTTTTCCTTGCAGCATATCATGCTCCTTTTCTGGATGTGGAGTTAAAGCACTATTCATAACTCATCCCTAACTGCTTCAAAGGAGCAGATATGATCATAGTGGAATCAAGAAATGAATGTTAAAACAGAGGCAAAAGAGTGAAATATATTACACTGATGACATTATGGCAACATAATGAAGAAACTGAAAGGTGCAAAATGAGATCTTGTATTTTCCTAAGTTTAGTAAACCTATTCTTTCATACTTTATGGTTGTAAGGAACATCAATAAGATTGATTTTTAAAAGGCTGTACAATGTTAAAATTATACCATGTTGCTTGCAGCTTCAGTATTATTTCCACTTACAATGGGCCATTACCTATACACTGTTCTTTGCAGGGAAAATAATAAATTAATTGCTGTCCTCTGTTTTTTGCCTTGCCTAAAGCTTGTCAAAAACTTCTTTTAAAGATTGCTGCAATTACCTTTTGCATAGTAAAATCGGCTTCTGCAGCTTGGCAGAAACTTTGCCATAAGCCTTATTTCTTCTGAACAATTGGCTCCGCTTGCTTACAGCATGCAACCTGCTGCCATTTGATAGGAGCCACAGGAAAACGAATAGAGCGAATGGCAGGATGTGCAAGGAACAGACTTCTCGGAGGCTGCAGGAGTTGGGGAGGGCAGGAACACTGGAGCTAATCATATTCCAGCTGAAGTCGCTGGAGGTCTTGCCGGTAACATTTTAACAGAAGCCATACCTGAAACCTGTGGCTGCTGTAGGTCATGCGGCACTTCTGCATTGTTGGGGCTATATAATTATTTTAAGGTTTAAACCTCATACTCACATCTACAAGGTGCAAAGAGCTTGCACAGAGAGTGGTGTTTTTTTCTTTATTTTTGTTTTTTTCTTCCCCTCAACTTGGCTAGGTACTAGAAAAAGTAAATCTTGTTTACCTCAAATGTATTTCCACATCTGAAAGAATAAGGGAAGGGCCTAGAGATGTTGCAAGGCTGATCTTAAGAGTAGTGAAGCTGAGGGGTAACGGTCAGGCCGTATCCATACTTATCTAACTTAGTAATAGAGATGTACTTAGGGGAGGGGAAGGTTTGCCTGAGGCAAATACAAGAGAATTAAAAAGGGAATTTAAAATCTTTCATCAGTTCCTCTGTGGAGCTGAAAATGTTTGGGTAATTAAACTGTTTACCTACATTTTGTGTGCCTGCTGTTACAGTTGGATGTTGTCACCTTGGTTTTTTTCTACTCCATAATTAACTGCATTAGCAAGTTGCTGAAACCTCACCTGCCTGCAAACGCATTTACCTTTTGGAGTGAAGAGAGGTTTGTGTACTTGGTGTACAGGTGCTTGACAAATCCACTGAAAGAGGGATCATTTAAATTCATATATACTTTTTTCAATTATTTGTTCTTAATTGTGACAGGGAAGGTAGGAGGATTCCTTTCTCCATTTAAATGAAGGAATACTTGGGCAACTGCAGTTCTGTAGGGAAGCTAGCCAAGCCATTACTTTAAAACCTGCTCATGCTACTCTGAGTGCCTGACTAGTATAGCTAGTCTATAAAGCAACAAAGGACCATGGATGGTGTCTTCATCACATATATGTTTTAGGATTCCCAAGGCTAAGTTGCGTAACGTCGGCTCAGGATAGCAAGCTGCTTTCTGCTTCTTTCACTGCTTTTTTTCGTGGTCTGGAGGAGAGCCAGCCAGACCCCAGCTGGGGTAGGGGGCCCTTCAGCTGATCTTTACTAACTACTCTTTGCACCCAAGAGAAAAATAAAGATGCTTGTCAGTGTTGCAGTGTTTGTAGTTTGTTTGTTTGTTTGTTTGTTTACTGAACAGAAGCTTTTCAAGGCAAGACGCTCTTCACTACCCTGTGTGCCTAGCACAATGATGTCTATTCGTATCTGGCCCTTAGACATGACTCTAATAAGCTTGATTAACAATATTATTTGTTTCTACCATTATCTTCATCCTGAATACATGAAACACCTACAGTCTGACTTGAACAATCAATAGAAATATTAACCCCTGTTGCTCTGAAAGCTTAAACATTAATTTCAAAAGCTGCCCTTTTCAAAGGAGACATCTGCTTTCAGTTGCAGAAGGACACCTCTGAAAACATCAGTCTAAAAAAAGGTGGATGTTTTGTTTCTCCTTTCCTTCTTGTCTTCTAGAAGCAGAATCACTCCCTTGGTGTGTACCTGCTTAGGAAACTTTGCCTTTTCTGTTTGTGCTTTAGTGGCTTTCACAAAGATTATCCATAGAAGCCAGTACTAAGAACCTCCATTTCACACTTACTTGCTTTGATGTGCTGCACTATGGGAAAGATTGGTTGCTGGTAAAAAGTTGCTAGTAAAATTAAATTTTTAGAAGTAGGCATAAAGAAATGAGATTTCTCTGTAACAATTAAAACAGGTTTATGAACCTCTATGGCATCTTTGTGAATGAAAGAGCATCCAGGAAGCTAGCAAGGCAGAGTGATACAGAGCAGGCAAATGTATTTACTGATGCTGGACAGCATAATGAATTGTATTAATCTGCATTACTACATCTTGAACAGGTGCAAATTTTTGCTGTGTGTTAAGGTCCTTGAGTAATCCAAGAGAGTGGTGCTGGGGCACTGGGCAGTAGGAGCCTCTGCTCCAGGCTGAGGAAAGAAGCACAGGGTGCTGAACGCTTTTATGCAAAACCTGAAACCAAACTGAAGTAGCCTGTCAAGCTCACAGTGAGTATAGTGGGCAAAGAAAAGCTCAAATTCCTTTTTGTCCCTACATGATGATGTACTTGCTATATGGCTTTTTTTCAGCTGTCTCCTGTAGGCAACGGATGCTATTCCCAGCAGGAGTGCTAGTGCGGCATCACTCTCTGAGCAAGACCAGTTCAGCACCCTATAGGGGCACTACAACGATTGAAATGTAAACCAGGAGCGAGATTCCTGTTCGCTGGCGTCGCATCTGATGTTGATTCCAGTTGAAATGGTATCAACTTCTTTTTCTGCTTGGCGTTACCTCTGTATTACATAAAAAGGGAGATCTAAGTCTAAGTTCTTTTCTGTTTTAAAAACTTCCATGTATTTTTCATGCTGAACCACACTTGGTTTCAGTGCTTGTTTACCGGACTCAAAGAATGCTTAGGTCTGTTTCTTCATAACTGTTTGTGTTATTTTGCATTATTTTTTCCTACGTTAAATCTTACTGAAAACAGTTCAATTATTCATTTCAAGAGACTTTGCAAACTAAAAAACCAAAAAAACACCAGCAAAACCACAAACTTCTATGGAGTAAGCCGTAAGAAATTTTTTAATTAAATATACTTTAGATTGCTCTTGACAAAACAAAAGCAATACCTGCCAAACGCAGGACCAATGCCTGAAACTTGAAGCTTGATCTGTTTCTATTGTTAAACTAAAAAATACGGTAGGTTTCTGAAGCTTGTGGGGGAAAATTGTGTCTTTTCATCAACAACCACTTTTAGCAGCTGTGATCTGAAATGGGTGATCCTGTACTGATTTTTATTCCTCTTATTTTAGCTGTGAAGAAACAAAGATATATGTAGGTTTTAAACAACGGCACGTGGTAGCATTGTACAAAAGATATTAATTAAGGTAAAATAATTGTGGGAGAGATCATGCAGGTATGTAAAAGAATAATCCTGGGGAAACAGAAGTCATTATGAATATTTATTTAGATGTATTGTATCTACAAAACACATAGAACCTTAAAAACCACCACACCCATAAAACCAAATGAGCAAACGTGAGCTGTATACAAAGTCACTTAAGGTTGTTGAAGGCCAGCTCCTGCCCCCTTGAAAGAATGGAAAAAAGAGGAAAGAATTATATATTCTTCCATACCGTGGCCGTGCTGACATTAATTTGTTTCAGACTTTGGGTTTTTTCATTCCTTCTCTGAACTCTATTGCAATAGTCACTCAAACTTATGCCAGTTGCCTTCAGCACAGGAACAACTGGCAGTTAGATATGCCCCTTGTTGCTGCAGGGGCTTTTTATACTTTGGGGAAGCTATTTTGCCTTTAGGCTGATGAGGACATTGCTCAGAGGTTATTCAGCAGCTGATCTGTGCAAAAGCTCAAAAGTTTGATTATTTCACCTCCTTTTGAAGAGAGATGATGAAAGTAGTTGATGGGGAACGTGAGGAGCGGGGAGTGTGCCAGGCTGAAGACGAAGCAAGGGAATGCTGGCAGTAGCGCCCACAAAGCTTCCTTTTTCTTTTCTTGCTTCAGCCTCTTGAAGGTAGGGCAGAATTGGGTTGAAAGGTTGTTTGTTTGTAACCTCTGTGCAATGGGAAGCTCCTCCTGGGCACTGTGACACGGCCTCATAGCCAGAGCACTTGACCTGAGGTCTTTTATGTCCACCTATGACTGAAGCCTTCTGTACTTCTGTATCAAAGGTGAAGAGGAGAATCCCAGCGTGCGGGTCTGTTGTAAGCTATGCTGGTATAGTGCGGGTATGCAGTTCCCTCCTATGAGCCCTGCTTTTGGTCAGCAGAATGTGGGCTGCAATTTGTTGCTCCCGTTCTATAGAGGTATGAGAATAGGCTGCATTACATATTCGTGTCAGAGTAAAATCTGTACTTTAGCAGCTCGTTACCTTTTGCCGTTTCCCTCTACTCATAGGTTTTAATGACCAAAGGGACCACTACAATCATCTTGTCTGACCTCCTGGCTAGCACAGGCCATAGATTTCACGTAGTAATCCTGGAACAAGCCTATAACTTCCAGCTGAACTAGAGCATAAAAAGTACAACAAAATTCATAACTTGTCCAAGATCTATTGCCAGATTTTAACTTCAGCATCTTACGTATGAGGGATGAACTGCTACTTCACAAGGCAGTTCTGTCCTAACTGTTCAAAACCTTTTGGAGATGAGCCACGTGCAGCAACAATCATATCACTTCTCTTAGAAATAAGGGGTTTTATTGTTTAAGGTTTTTTGGGGGCCGGGAAGGAGGTTGGTAACCCTAACCGAATCAAGGCTTTTAAAACATTTTGTTAAATGACAGCTCCGTCTATGCAATTGATTCTTTTCTTTTAATTTTGGTGCCATATAGGCTTGTTTATTACTGTGTTCGTTTCCTGAAACATGGTGGTTCTAATCTGCTTAAGGGCTCTTCTAACTCGTCTAGAAACTATTTCCCTTGGTCTTCCAGCAGTCTCATTTTCTTGACAATGTTTTGGTTTTCCTCCTTCTGTTTTGTTTCAGGTTACATTTCAATTCTACACATCTGAGGTGGTTTCATATGTTTTTTTTCAGTGGCAGGTGTTTAATTTAGGAGAAAACCGACTTCATCTGACTACTCTGGAATTTTACAGCTCAATTAGTAGTGATTTCTAATAACTGTGTTATATAGGCATTAGTAACTACTGCTTTCTGTAATGGCTTTACAATTTAAATTGCGTATAATGTTTTTTTACTTTATTATGAAAAATATTACCTTCCCCCTACTGACTGTATTCAATTATCTGAAATTTAACATCCTCTTATTAAATACTTGAGTGTGTCAGATGTTTAATATGTTGGGTTCCCAAAGAAATGAGTTCTCTGTGGGTTTAGTGTTCTTTCCAGCACTCAAATACTTTACTGTATTTTATAACTTTGAAGCATTCTGTTTAAACTACCTTTGTATAAATTACCAGTCGTGACTATTTCACCATGAGGAAAATATTCAGGTTGATCTTTAAGGGGAAATATGAAGATAGGTTGGGACTAGAAGGAGCAATAAAAAGCTTTTCTGTCTAATGAACATCTGAGCTTTCTGGAACGATTTCTCTTCTCAGAGCGGAGATGTAAGGTTGAAACCTTTGAACGGTTTGTGAACTGAATATGAAAAAACATGCGTTAGATTAATCAAAATATTTCATGGAAATATTGATGTTTTACGTTTAGAACAAGGATTAAAAATGCCCTGCAATTTTGAAGTCTAAATGAAGAAATCCATGTTATTAAATGTCAAAATATGACTTTTCAGCAGTGTAAGGCTTTTTTTTTTTTTTATTTCCCCAAGAACAGAAAATTCATCATAAAACCATTTCCCCCAAAAGATCTCAATCTTGGAGATTTTTTGGTGATGTTTTGATGTCATCTACTACAATGCATGTGCAGTTCTTCCTGTAATCAAATAGTTTATATAGTCAATGAGTTAAATACTGTTTAAAAAAAATAAAGCGTTAGACGATGTCTTTACAGAAGTAATGTAATAGTAGGTGGGGAATTGTTTCAGCCATGAAGAATTTCTCTTGAAGAGGGAAAACATTGCTAGGAGGAATTTCTGAAGCTTTTTTTCTAAAACAGCATGCAGTGCTCGATTTAGCGCAGGAATTGGCTCATCAGATGACTTAGCTAGGCAGGTGCTTATGTGCTGCTGAACAGAGGGCCTTGCCATGGTCTTATCTTCCTTCATCCTTTTGCAGAGAAGCAGTAAGGATTTTCTTGGTTTCCCAGGTGTGTTGCAGCTGGCCCCAATGCAACACGCCTTGATGTTAGGGGAAATGCTCATTGTGTTCTGTCTTGCACCTGCAAACATGCGAATCATGACAATCTGAGACTAAATGTTTAGAGCATCCAGTGTCTGGCATGCAATTACATATTTATGCAGGACACTTCTACTGTGCATTTCAATAACACTTCAATATTTTATTGATTCAGAGGTAATGTGTGTCTGAAAAGCTGTAAGCTGTATGTTGTATATTAATTGACAATATAACATCTGAATTCAGAAATACCTGGCATGAATAAAATGTGAAACAGGATGATTGTTTGACTAAATAGTTGACTTTTATATTGTATGTTAGTGATGCCATATCCAATTAAAAGGATAACGGAAACAATAGTGATTTTTAATTTTTAAACCAATGTGGGCTGCATTAAGGGGATTATGGAGCTTTATGAAGTAGTTTGCATAATATAATGATCAAGAACGGAGTCTGAGTCAAAGCTGAGTTGCACATGGTAAATTAAGTAACTTTTAGTTTCTCCTTGAGATAACTTCAGACTATGAAGTTCAAATATGAAGTTTAATGGCAGCATCTCCAAGTTGTGAAGGTGTTTGCAGAGCAAGGTTGTCATCCGTGCTCTTTTTCAAGAAATCTCTTTAGGCCAGGCTTTTGGCTTTAGCATGTGAGTACTGAGGTCAGGATGGCTGTCTACAGCCTATGTGCTTTGCTAGACTGGACTTTACTCTTTCTTCAGCTGAGTCCATTCTGTGCAATCTGTTGCTTGTTAGGATCAGTGAGCCTTGTTCTCCTGATTAACCTAATGATCCTCTTCATTTCATCTGATTAACTGAAAAATGAGTAAAAACTTAGTAATGCGGCTTCTGATACCTGTTGAAAAAGGTCAAAGGAGTTGAATGTGGATGATAGCCTGCATGACTGAAGAGCATCGGGCACAATCCAGAGATATATGAAGAGCCATAGGAGAGAGGTGCCATTCTCCCCATCTCTTTAAAAATGGTAATGGTTAATACTCAGTACTTTAGGCTTAGTTCTCTTCTTCCTGAAGACAGGACACTTCAGGTGCTAGGTTGTTATTGCAATGGATCTGACATTTTTATAGCAGGGCTCTTTGATCTTGCCTGTATGAAAGTCTCAGCCCCCACATTAATCTTGTCAAAGGCAAACTGTTCTATATGTTGCATAAAATAGCTGCACATCTGTTGTTTTTAATAACATTTGCACATTCAGAACTTTAAAAAAAAAAAGTTTTATAATCCCCTTATTGTTCTATAACTCCTGAAAATTCTGTTTGAATTAACTGACAGTTTTATTCTGAAATTTCTTTATCTTTATGATGTGTTTCAGGGTTCATGAGTGAAACTAACTGGCAGAAAAACAGATCTATACTAGTATGTTAATTATCTAGATTAAAGGATCCCAGTGTTCAGTCATACAGCAAAAGAGATAAACAAGTCTCTTAGTTTTTAGTAGGAAATCCCTTAACGCAGCAATATATTTATAGCTTGGCTGCTCCAAATTCATCACTCAGAGTTTCAATTGCTTAATGCAGAGATGGTCACACTGGGGATACCTGGCTGTAGGAGTGTCTGAGTTAGTACTCTTGAAAAGTAATGATTTAAATGGTTTCCTGAAGTTGCAAGGGAGAGGTTTACAAAGCCATCCTAATGATATGTTAAAAGTAATTGAAATGTAAAGCTGTTTCCCTGATTTTCTATTGCATTTGACAACCCTCTACAATATCTTAATTATTATGTGCGAGTACAAGGAAAAAGAAAGAGGAAAATGAGGTACCAGTCTGTGTGGATTTTGTGCCAAGCTGATGCTGCATATTTTTCGGCATAGAAGTGCCAATACTGTAAAGATGAAGAGTGACCAAGCTTATCTGTGCAAACAGATACAGAAATAGAATGAAGACATTTTTCATGAAGCTCTGTTGGATGGCAGGGGCCATTTTACACAATCCTGGCTTGTAGAGCAATACCACCTCCTTACCTGAACTTCCTCCTGCACTCGTTGGCAGTTGGTTGCTGTAACTTGGAGTTGGCAAAGGACAGGGACATGTAGGTCGATGTCCTGTGTAGTTTGTGAACAGCTCAGGCTGAAAACCTTTTAATAGGCCTGGTATTTTGAATTATGAAATGAGTGAACTATTCAGTGCTATAGGAAAAAAAAAAAGACCATGTCTGAGTGCTGCCTGAATGTTTAGATAGTGGGTGAGGAATGACCGCTGCAGTCCAAAATTAAAGCATTTTCACTGTCCTGAGCATGGCAAGAGCCATGTTCGAGGCAGAACTTTGCAGCAGGAGCTACACACAAACGTAGTGCACAAAGAGCTTGATGCTGGCTGCAGTGGCAGTGCACAGGGTGGCTGTCAGGCTTGTAATGAGTTGGCAGCATAAGGCTATGTGTGGAAAAAATGGAGAACATTAAGCAGGTAAAGGTGTAAGGGGGGGTGAGTTGCAATCTTGAGGAGAAGGGAATTAAGTCAATTTATGATGTTCTCTTGCAGCAGCACTTCTAAGTCTATCTGGGACTGGTGGCATAGCTGTTGCTTCACTGCTTGCTGTGCCATATGTGCTCTATTAAAGAGAGTGCAGCTGACACTGAGAGGGGATACACAGGTTTGCTTTGTGCTGAGGGCTCTGCTGGGACCCTGGGGAGGGAAGGAGAGCTCTAGGGAAAGCTGTTGCAGGCTGAAGTGGCAGTGGGAGCAAGCAGAGAGTCTGGTCTGCTGGAGGAGAGACTGCGGCTCCTCAAATGGACTGAGGTGTCAGCTCGTGTTGAGAAGCTAACCTAGAGCAATACCTGGAGGAGGAAAGTTGTGCTGCAAACCAAGACTGGCAGGACCTATCATCCTTGCCAGCACACTGGGGGGCTTTTGTTTCTGAGCCTTTTATTTACTTTGTCTCCCTCAGCAGATCTGAGACTTCTTTATACTTAAGGGCTTACCTTCTACTTTATTACTTTTGTATTTTGTAAGCAAAATGGCTTTAAAGACTGGAAACTTTTGTTGCCTTTTGGTCTGTCTACTTTAAAGAAAGAGGGATTAGAAGAATGAGTCCACTTCAAAGCTTTAGTTGAGCTGGGTTACCATCAGTCAGCCATGGACATGAACCTCTTTGGTGCCGCAGTGGAAGCGAACCAAATGTGTGAACTGATGCTCCAGTACTCATCATTTTTGAAAATACATTTGTTTAAAGAGGCTGCTTTAGAGCAGTAACAAGGATTTTGGTTCCTGAAATGGCACTGCCAGGGAGTTTCTCCTCCCAGACAATGGACACAAGCTGCTTGTTGAGTGATGGACCTCCTGGAAAGTTGGTTTCGTTACTGCTGTGATTTACAGTTCTCCGCGTTAGCTGGGCATGGGCTTTAGTTTTACACTCTCCTTTTAATTTGGCTCCAGGCTGACATCACTCTCTGACAGAGCAGAGAATCAGTAACACCGGGGACTGACGACTTTTCTGAGTAGCCATTTACCTGATTTGCCTGTGCTTAGAAAAATTCAGATGTCACTCAGGCCTCTGAGAAACTGGGAATCTCTTTGAATCAGTGATTTCAAAGCAAAGGGGACATTAACTTTGTGTGACTTTAAAGCAAAGGAGACTTGACAGCTTTTAATTATGCATCATCCTGAAGACAGCAGATATAGGGTTTCCCACATCATGCCCTTCTGTTCCCATAACGGATGGAGGAGTGTCGCAGGTGACTTCTCTTCATTGCTGATAAATCTTCATAGGGCAGCACGTGGCATGTGAGCTGTAGGGGAAGGGAGCTGAGTGCCATCTCTGAAACAACTGTGTTGGAGGCACAGCAAATGGCTGACTTCCCACAAAGCAACATTTGGGTAATCCATTGCCTTCTGTCTATATTTTGCCAACCCACTCAATTGGCCGACATATTCAAAATATCGCTACAACTTACTTCTCAAAGACAACCTTTAAAAAAAAAAAAGAGATTTAAGACTGATAAAATTGCCCATAAATTGTTTCCTATTCAGACTATAAATGATTTCTGTACATTCCACTTTTTCTTGGACCAAAAATGCATGTCAAGTAGAAAGTGTAGATGTATGGTAACTTTCATAAACTAATTTTATTAGGTACCCAAGCAGATGATGGTACTCTGATATTGAATTAGTTCAGCCAAGTAAACTGAGAGGCAATGACTCAAGACTGTGGCTTATTTATTTGGGTACAGGTGGTCTAGCGCACAGAGGCAGCTGTACTAGCGCTTATGCTCAGATATTTTGTTCCCTCCCTTGTCTACACCGTGCAAGAAATATTAATATCTGCATCTGCCTGATCTGATTGGCTATGTCTCCAGTTTGTGTGCTTTTTGTGGGGCAAATTCAGATTGGATGGCAGTGGAAATTCAAATTACTTGCAGCACAGAGCTATCTGCCAGTATTTTTTGCCCACCTTCTTCTGACCACCTTCTTTCTTAGAGAGTATTTCTGAAGAATAAACAAAGGCAAGGATGATAACGGAATGAGCTATTGGGGAATATGTCATCCTTAAAGTTTCTTGAATGGTGGGCAGCCTGGAAACATTGTTTTGAAGTTTTGGTTCAACTCCAGCAATGTAAAAATCTGTTTCACTTGTTCTTGCTTAGCACTGTTTTTGCAGCTTGACTGGCTGCTTTGCATCTCCATGCAACAATGCATTTTTTAAAAAAAGTTCATTGTACTTTGTGTCTTATTTCTACTTCTTTTTCTGTAATTGCTTTTGAATGAGATATAAGTCACTGAGACATGTGAAAAGACTCTTGTGACCATGTAAGTATCTCTGCTGATTGAGATCCTAGAAAATTCTGAGCTCTAATATTGTAGAAATTCTGCAGAGTCCATTTCCAGTCTGCACTTTGTGCTGTCCCAGTAAGATGTCCTGCTGAGGCTCTGTGATTGCAAGTGTGCCAGGACTGCAGGGGATGTTTCTTTTTAACTAAATGATTCCTTCTTTGCTAAACCTGGTAAAGGTGTTGCCCAACTCCAGTACCTGTTTCTACCCAGATTTCCAATCCAGAATTTCTTTCTATTTGCTACCCTGCCTATTTAGGGTTTCATATCACAGCCCATCACAGGTGGTGGAACGATCTCTGTGAGTACCTCTAATTTGTTCTGATTTTACTTGGAGGCAGAGACTTTGAGGCCCAGAGGGATTATTTGATTTCTTTGAAGTCTCAGAAGTCTGGTGAATCAAGGAAGAGGATAGCAACTTTGACAAACAATGAGACAAATCCTACTGGGCGCTGTTCCCCCTCCAGCTCCAATTTCCTAAAAACAAATCTCT